GATTGGCGATTCCAGGGCTGAAATCGTCCAAATGATTCTAATGAAGGTGTATTGAGTTTAAAGACACAATGGGGTAATGGAGCACTTCCTGTATTTCCACCACAGACTGTTTTCCGTTTGAGAGAAGAGCTCAGCCTAAACATGCAGGTTTGTGCATTAAAAATGTGCAAATGAAACGAAACACAACTCCAGGTCTGTTTGTGATGAGGAAACATTAGAACATACATCTTTAATATTATTACCTACAGTGTTTTTGTGCAGTCAAAGTGTGTACCTGCGTGCAATTGTGATGCATAGTGTGCCTTGTATGAAGTATTTTTAAATGTTTTGTGCATTAAAACAGGAACTATGTCTTGTCTTGCTCATTGTTTATTCATATCTTTGGGTTACATCCTACAAATGATGAGAAGAATAATGGGACTGATGCTGTGTCTGCACGAACTAAATTTAAACTACGGAAGATGAACGGACATTTTGTGAAGCTGTTTTAAAAGTGCACTGTGTAACTTTTCTTGGGGAGGGTTCGCCAGCTGCTCTGTCTGTAATGTCCCACAGTAAAGCCTTAAACTCATCCATGTCCATGAAGATGAGCAGAAACAAAACTAGGCTCAAGAGGCGTTTCCATGTGTCGTACGAAGATATTTAAACAATAAAAACACCTGTAAATGAATAAGTGCAAACTAAGCAAGCTAAATATCATACTGTGGAACATTCCAGGCAAAGCGGTTACATCGCCATGGAGACGAGCAGGAGGTGGACGCTCTACTCACAAAGTTACGCAGGTCAGCTTTAACACAGCTTTAAAAACCCTTCAACTGTCATGTCTTGCAGTGATGTGTGTGGACTCCCCCAATCGACCACAGAGACTCTCAACACTTATAAATAAAACAGTGAAAACAATCTCATGGTTTAAAAGAGCAGGTACACAAAAAGAAATGACAACGCACACACTGTCATGGAAGGAAAATTATGCTCAAATAAAGAAATAAGTGAATGAAGAAAGAATGAAGACTACTCATTTCACTAACAACAGCTAATAATGACGTTTTAGATCTGCACAAAAAATATTCACACTTTGGCCATTTTTAGGTTTTAAACTTGACTTCCTAGTTGGAAATCATGAGATCACACTAAGGAATTCCAGAACTGTTACCCAGCAACCGTGTACACTGGACCAAACTCCTCTAATGATTATCTGACAAATATAAATAAATAAATAAATAAAAACACCTTGATTTTATTGCCTTCATCTTTAAAGTATCAGCAATAATGCATATTCTTAATTGTGCCAAATTCTGCTCAGTGTGATGTCATCAAAGCTTCTTGTCATTTTCAACACATTTTTCAACTTTTCTTTTTTTAAATTTATATTTACAGTTGTGGTCGTCCCACCAAATGAAGTCAAAATTACAGAAAAATCTGTCATACACACTTTAAGTTAAGAGCTAGTTCACTGATCAAGGTCCTGGAACAGCTTCTATGCAGATGAATGATGTGTGTGTGTGTGGGTGGGTGTGTGTGCGTGTGTGTGTGCCTGTGCATGTGTGTGTGTGTGCGTGCCTGCATGTGTGGGTGGGTGTGTGCGCGCACGTGTCTGTGTGTGCGTGCGTGTGTGCATGTGTGTGTGCTGTAAACACAATAAAATCCTCAGTAATAAAGCAACACAAAAGTGAGCATGTTGTCTAGTCAAGTCACAAATAGCCTTTATCTACTTTATTCCACCCCCGACTTTTACTTCTCTATTTATGTTTATTTGAGGTAAGAGAAGAATAACTTTGACCTACTGCAAACTGTTTCAAATCAACTAGCTCTGGTTTTCTGTTTTTTTTATGTAAAACACACATGTCAAACTCAGGACTAGGGGCCAAATTATAAGAAAAAGTGTAACCTTACATATCTCGAATGAAGAGAAAACATGCAGAAGTTGTTGAAATTTTTCAATAAATATTTAGTTTGGCCCATGGCTTAGTCCCTCTGTGAATTAGAGTTTGACCCCTGGTGTAAAGTGTCCACATCTCTAAGCACAGAGCTGAGTCTGCTCTGCACTCACAGACCCACTCTGCACCACGGATAAAAACTGGTGTTGTCATTTCACCCACAAAGCCTAGTATAAAAGTGATGTGTTTATGTGTGTGTGTGTGTGCGTGCGTGTGTGTAGGTGTGTAGGTGTGTGTGTGTGTGTGTGTGTGTGTAGGTGTGTGTGTGTGTGTGTGTGTGTGCGTGTGAGTGTGTGTGTGTGTGTGTGAGTGTGCGTGCGTGTGTGTGTGTGTGTGTGTGTGTGTGCGTGTGCGCGTGTGTGTGTGTGAGTGTGGCAGTCGGAGGAGCCATCAGATTCAGTGTGCCCAGGGCAGCTGTGGCTGCAGTAGTAGTTCTGTGGGTGTTCTGAAAGGTGCTGCTGTATAAATGAATAAATAAAAACACATTGAATCAACTCAGATTATAAATGGACATTTAAAGGCAAATGGGTGAGAGGGGAAAGTTCTGGGAGTGACCTGGTTTATTTCTTTCGTAAGGTTGCATCATGTCTCTGATCAGGCACGACTGTTTATTTGTGGAGTTCACAGTTTGAAGCCTTTGGCCCAGAACAAAAGCTGATGACAGACCAGAGTGAGAGTGCACACACCGGCCAATCACAGAGCAGAGGGGTGGAGCCACAGACCGTCACATAACCACAGCAGGCTGACTCACTCCTCCAGACACACACACACGCACACCACAAACACGCACACGCACACACAGAAGCGCACACGCACACACACAGTCACATGCAATCACTTGTAATCAGGATTTCATCACTCACACTTACATTTACACTATCATCTCTATGTGGTCCTTTTGATTTAGGCCGCCCTTTAATGCCGGGGTCACACCTGTCAGGAGCAGGGTGCACCTGTCAGGCACCTGCCCTAAATACCTGATCATGTTCCACATGTTGGACATTACCCACATTAAAGCAGCCACTGGTCATCAGAGGATCTGGAGATGTCACCCATCAGTCTTCTTTACATTGTTTTATTAATCACATTTGGACAATTTACATTGTATTTATTAAGAAATCATTTATTATGTTTGGGTGACATCAGTTGTTCATATATCAGACCTCCGCCCCTGGATCTGGAGCTCCCTGGGTCTGTCCGTCCTCAGTGTGAAAGTGCTCCTGGGAATGCCCTGGTACACATCACCTGTATAACAGAAGGGAGTGTGATGTCACCCATAGAGTTTGGTGGCACCCAAATCGAGGCTATAGCAGCTGACCTGCGAACACCACTCACACCCCTGATTTGGCAGGAGGCAGGCACTTAGCCGCTGCATGTACAGCTGGTTAATACAAACATTTTAAGGTCAGAATGAGGAGCGTGACAGCAGCAGTCACAGAGAGAAGAGACGACTGCAACCAGAGCTCAAAGGAACCAGCACCTGACCATGCTCACTTCCTATTTGGAACATGGTGGTAACACGTTAACTATGTCCATTTATATACACAGTGTATGGGTACATGTCACCCAGCACAGGGACACAGCTCAAACCAGAACTTTGTATAAGTCATACTTCTACGTGCTGCTGATAAAGACAGGCCTCTGGGCGCTGATAGCACACACACAAACACAGGATCATTACAACAGGTTTATCTCCAGAGTCTCACTGGAGCTAAAAACAGTGTAACAAAGGCCCAAAGACAGAATGTTCCACACATGTTCCTGACACTATCACTGTTTAACCTTGACACATTTCAGAGCTGTGTCTCCGCACACATACGTGTGACCAGGTATGCAGCTCAGACTTTGTCACTGTTTCAAAAGTGTGTGATGCTAGACAGTTTGTGTGAGCTAAAATCCATGTAAAACATTCTTAAAAAGGATAAAGGAAGTCACTTATGATATTATACGACCTGGAATAGCTCTTGTAAAATGAACTTTTATCTCATCTCCTCATTTCATCTCCTTCCCTCATTTGATCTGACGCCAAAATCACAAGGCACGTGCCAACTGTAAACACACCATAGAACAGCTGATCCAGCCTCAGAGTTTTTTTTATTTTAGTGTTGGTCAGGACTACCTTCACATCTTCTGCTGTGAGGTGAGAGTGTGCTAACCACTCGTGTCACCATGTCACTTTCATAACATCTTCTGTAATTGTGTGTAAAAGGCCGTGGAGGGTCTGTGGTGTGTTCCAGCACACAGAGGCAGAGCCCTGGTGTCCGTGACCCTGACAGGTGCACAGTGTATGTACAGTAGACAGGGACTAGTCACAGTGACACAGCAGCAGTCACATCACAGCACGTACCTCCTCTTCCTGTAATCCTCCTTTATCTCCACTCTCTCCCAGCTCCACTTTCATTCCAGGACCATAAAACAACTCTCTCCAACTGTCTGCGCCCTAAGGAAATGTACTGGAAAAGCACCAGGAAAAACACTGACAGAAAATAATCAACGTACTCTCTGGACTTCTTAGACAAAAACACCACCTGTTCAGATTACAGATACTCATTTAATTTCATTATTTTACACACTGAAGTACAAACATTTTCTTCACCTAAACACATATTACATTTACAGTTTCATCAGAACAGGCAGCACATTTTAGTTACAGGTTTTTACACTTGAAAAATGACTGACTTTTTGAACCCTACATGTTGGAATGAATAAATTCATTTTTGAACAATCACTAGTAAATACAATAGTGTGGGCGGAGATAGGGGGTAGGTGAAAACAGGAATTTTCTGAGCAATCCAGAACAATACAGACTTATCCACACAAACATGATTCAGTTGAAATTAAATTTGAGTGAGTTAATGATTGAGGAATGTCATTATAACTTTGCGAACAGATACCAAAAGTCTATTTTACATAAGATAGTGTGAAATCCCCTCACTTAGCCCGGTGTCAGATTTTTCTAAAGTTAGCTGACTCACCTGACTAAGCTGCCTGGGTGTGGCATGGGATCCTCAGTATAAATAAAGGCACGTGAACTATTTCATTCATAAACCTGGTCTGAGCACCCGGGAGACTCAACATGTCCAAACTACACCACCCTGCTGCACTTACCTTAGCCCTGATCTGCCTGTGTACAGCTCAAACAGCCCAGGAAGAAGAGGCGGAGGGAGCTATGGACAGGGGGCTGCTCCTGGATGCTGTGAAAACCGGGATCTTGAGCTCTCTGGGCATAGAGAAGCCCCCGGTGGTCCACAAGAAGGCCTCCCAAACAGAGCTGAGGGAGATGGAGAGACTTTACCAGGAGAAACTCACCGAACTAGGGCTGAATATGAATCGGAGTAATGGGATGTCCACTCTGCTCCTGCCACACAGAGGTAAGATGAAGTTTTTCATACAATAGGAACAGTACAAGTAGTTTTAGTAGTAGCAGTTTGCAGTAGTGGTATTAGTAAAAGTAGAAGTAGTAGTGGTGGTGGTAGTAGTTGTTTCAGTAGGGCTGTCCACTAAAAATCTGTTAAAAAACAAAGTGGAGCTTCATGTTGTTTAAAGAGATGAAACGCAAACAGGACAAAAGCTACAAAACTCTGTCACACAACAAGTAATGAGAAAGTTGGTTTTGAATTTGATCCACATTTTAACAACATCTTGCCATAAAATAAAGATAAAATTAAGTCAAATTAAATGAAAACAGAATTACAGTGACACATGAATGCTTTACAAAAAAACAGGATCACACATGTTCTGAGAAGTTGGTTTTAATATTGATCCACATTGAACTCCTATCTCCTAACTCCTATCCTGCCTTAAAAAAATAAAAAATAAAAATTAATTAATTAAAATGAAACACGTGAATGACATAAAAGAGCATCACATATGTACTGAGAAGTTGTAAAGTTGATCTACATTTGAATAAAATAACACAAAGTAAAATTGAAATAACATGAAGTAACATTACGTTACATTGATCAAACTTAAATCCAGCTTCTTAGTATTTGTTATTTCAAGTCCAGTTTCTGTTTGCCATATGAAGTGGTATGATATTATTTTTTGGATGACATTCATCTGATAGACGTGCCCACTTGAGCTTTTGTCCTAGTTGCTGTATCATCTCTATAAATAACTGAATCTCCGCTCTGTGATCATACCAGCGACTTCTGTTTGTTTGTGGATCTTTTGCAAATAGAAAGGTTCAAAGACTGTGTGAATAAAGCAAACATTCCATCAGCGCTTAAAGTGACGCCATCTCTGTGTTCACGTAACTCACCCGTCGTGTTGTGATCACTGATGAATATCGAGATAAAACTCCAAAAATGACAGATGAAAGTTGGATGAACAGTTGTATCAGACTAAATGGCCCAAATTATTCTGTTTTCTGATCTTTGTTATATTGTAATACATGTTTCCTCATCACAAACACACAGTTGTGTTTTGTTTCATTCACACACCAATCCTGCATATTTAAGTTGAGTTCTTTTTTCAAACAGTAAACACCTTGTGATGTCATGTGGTGATACAGGAAGTACTTCACTGTGTTTTTAAACTCCAGGCACATTCACGACAATCAGTTGGATCATTTCAGAAGTGTCAGTCTCTACTGAACAAAAGGTCAAATGCAGCTGTTAAAGGGACATAGGGCCTCATTTCTTAAAGAGTCAGAGTGTTGGAGACGTGTGGAGACACTTTTTAAAATATTCCATCCAGTCCTTGTATTTGCAGAGGTCACTGGTGTTAGACTAGTGCATGAGAAAATAGTCCCTCAACATGAGAAGATTCATGTGATACAAGGTTAGTTTTATTTCAAACATTATTCTATCAACACAAACATTCCCAAATGACATGTGAAATAAAACTAACCTTGTATCACATGAATCTTCTCATGTTGAGGGATTATTTTCTTATATATCAGTCTGCCACTGTTGAGCTTTCTATCAGGAAGAACAACTCACTGCATAAATCCTTCAAATGTAAAGTTGGTTTTACTTCTACAATTATTCTATCAACACAGACATGCACATGGACAGTCTGGTGTAATAATAGATTTGTTTGGGGTGTTTTGTGGAGTGGGTAAGACTGTTTTTAGTGGCAGGTGAACTATGACCATTGATGTGCACTAGTCTAACACCAGTGACCTCTGCAAATACAAGGACTGGATGGAAGATTTCAAAAAGTGTCTCCACACGTCTCCAACACTCTGGATCACTAAGAAATGAGGCCCTATGTCCAACCGTCTGAACCGTCCCTTTAATTTGAAAACTACGTCTTCATGACATCACAAGGTGGAACAGATCATTTTGAGCTCTGGGGATCTGACAGACTAATAATAAAATGCTACTTAAACATGTGTGAAAGAAAACACAACTCCTGGTGTTTTTGAGGAGGAAACAACATGGTTTAAAGCTCAAGAGTCAATTTTGAGTTATAAGACTCTTAAGATACTCATACAGTATGTTCCTAAAGATTATTTATATCACTCACACTGGTACAAGCTGTACTTGTGTAGCCACAGCTGCCCTGGGGTAGAGCCTGCCACCACCATCCACCATCCACCATCCACTCACAGACTCCATCCGTACTGAGCCTAAATAAAGTGGGTGAAGTGTCTTGCCAGTAGACACCTGGTAGACAGAGACAGAACCATCAGTGTTCATGTAGATGGGTGAGCGCTGTAACCACTTTGCCACTTTAGTTATTTGGCACAGGCCTCTTCACTGCAAAAAGGATCTGAAAGTGCAACTGAGAGTTGGCAAAACAAAGAAAAAACACATCACATTTCTGCAGGTCTTCAAGTTAGTTTTAAGTTTTGAGTTAGTTTAAATGAGTTTATGTTTTTATGTATTTTTATTTCTCATTTACTTTTTTCCAGTGTCAACAACAGATATTTTCATAAATCCATTTCAGATACTGCTGCTGCTGCTTTGCTCTTTCGAAGTATCATTGTATTTATTTTTTTTTTTACAATGATAATAAAATCTAATCTAATCTAAGATATGACTTGGCACATTTTAAAAAAGTGTTCCATCATTTCTAACGTCAATACAATACTACACTTGTGATGTTTACCTGACTCCCGCCACATTTATTTGTTCCACACATTATCATGTTAATAATATGAGAAGGCTCAGATAGGGCAAAATACTTCTCCCTCCTCTCTGATACTAGGACATAAATCTAGGGTGCCCGGACATTCAAAAACAACTATTTCAACACTGGGACACACCCGGGTTGGGATGGTCGGTCATATAAAATGTGAAAAGACACTTACATCTTTCTCCACTCACACGTGTCAGTATTTAATCTGAAAGACTTCTCTCAATGCATTTTTATTTATTTTCTTATTTTATTCTTATTATATTATTTTTATTTTTAGCTTATGCTCATTTTCAAGCTAAAAGAAAAATATATTTGCCTGTTTACTGTTGAAATGTGCTGAAACACGGGACACAGGCTCAAAACTTGGATAGTCCTGGATAAATAGGGACATTTGATCACCCTAGTAGTAGTAGTAGTAGTAGTAGTAGTAGTAGTAGTAGTAGTAGTAGTAGTAGTAGTAGTAGTAGTAGTAGTAGTAGTAGTAGTAGTAGTAGTAGTAGTAGTAGTAGTAGTTGTAGCAGTAGTAGTAGTAGTAGTAGTAGTAGTTGTAGCAGTAGTAGTAGTAGTACTAGTAGTAGTAGTAGAAGTAGTAGTAGTAGTAGTAGTAGTAGTAATAGTAGTAGTAGTTGTAGCAGTAGAAGTAATAGTAGTAGAAGTAATAGTAGTAGTAGTAGTAGTAGTAATAGTAGTAGTAGTTGTAGCAGTAGTAGTAGTAGTAGTAGTAGTAGTAGTAGTAATAATAGTAGTAGTAGTAGAAGTAGTAGTAGTAGTAGTACTAGTAGTAGTAGAAGTAGTAGTAGTAGTAGTACTAGTAGTAGTAGTAGTAGTAGTTGTAGCAGTAATAGTAGTAGAAGTAATAGTAGTAGAAGTAATAGTAGTAGTAGTAGTAATAGTAGTAGTAGTTGTAGCAGTAGTGGTAGTAGTAGTAGTAGTAGTAGTAGTAGTAGTAGTAGTAGTAGTAGTAATAATAGTAGTAGTAGTAGAAGTAGTAGTAGTAGTAGTAGTAGTAGTAGTAGTAGTAGTAGTAGTAGTACTAGTATTAGTAGTAGTAGTAGTAGTAGTAGTAGTAGTAGTAGTAGTAGTAGTAGTAGTAGTAGTAGTAGTAGTAGTAGTAGTAGTAGTAGTAGTAGTAGTAGTAGTAGTAGTAGTAGTAGTAGTAGTAGTAGTAGTAGTAGTAGTAGTAGTAGTAGTAGTAGTAGTAGTAGTAGTAGTAGTAGTAGTAGTAGTAGTAGTAGTAGTAGTAGTAGTAGTAGTAGTAGTAGTAGTAGTAGTAGTAGTAGTAGTAGTAGTAGTAGTAGTAGTAGTAGTAGTAGTAGTAGTAGTAGTAGTAGTAGTAGTAGTAGTAGTAGTAGTAGTAGTAGTAGTAGTAGTAGTAGTAGTAGTAGTAGTAGTAGTAGTAGTAGTAGTAGTAGTAGTAGTAGTAGTAGTAGTAGTAGTAGTAGTAGTAATAGTAGTAGTAGTAGTAGTAGTAGTAATAGTAGTAGTAGTAATAGTAGTAGTAGTAGTAGTAGTAGTAGATTATTTGGTTCTTTTGCATTACAAAACAAAACTAAATAAAACATAAATTACAACTTCATGGATCATGACAGAAAGAGTTTAGGCTGAAGTAAAAAGTACTTTTAACACCAAACCCTGTTAAACAATGCCAGAATTCCAAGAAAGAAAAGCAGCGAAAGAACAGCAAGTTTGAGTTTACAATTTCACTTTCAACATACTGTAAATTAAAACAAACAAAATTTTAATGCATAATTCAGTCATTCCAGAGCTCTCGATCTTAAAAACATGAGGCTTTCTACTCTTTTTTTAAAGGCTTCTACAGTGTTAGACTTTTTAAAATCATCTCTCAGATTGTTCTAAACGAACAGAAAAACATTCATTTATTTTCTTAGTTCTCTTCATTTTTTTGTAATTTTTCTTGTGCATCAATAAAGTTTGTCTGAATCTAAGCCAAAAAATGTTCCTCTCTTCTTCATTGTGTTTCAGTTTCCAAGCTTCCAGCGGGACATGGGCTCGACCTGCGGAGGCGTCCCTTTCGCTGGCACAGGGCAGAGTTCACGGAGAAGCCCAGTATCCAAGAGGAGCTGTCCCTGCTGCACGCCCAGCTCTACATGTCCAGACAAGTCCTGCAGAGAGCCGCCGCCAGGGTCAAAGTTCACATACAGGGCTCCAGGTCCACCAGACACGCAGTATGGACACACACGTGGGCTAGTGGAGACACGACGCAAACGCTGGCACTGGACATCAGCGATGAGGTGCAAAAGTGGATCAGGGACGACAGCGGACCCCTGGTGGTGGAAGTGGGACATAGAGGAGCTGATTATAACTTTAATATTTCTCTCAAGTTGACACAAAAACACGCAATTTCAAGAATGACTCGCTCCAATAAGGAAGAAGAGGAATGTGACGATCGAGAGTTGTGCTGCCGGCAGTCCATGACGGTTTCCTTTAAAGACATTGGTTGGACAGATTGGGTCGTGGCGCCGTTAGAATACACAATGCATTTTTGTCAAGGTTCGTGCCCACATAACTACAGACCTGCAAGCATGCACACCCAGGTCAAGTCCAGACTGGCACAGATCTCCAAAGGGGGCATCTCAAGACCATGCTGTGTGCCAGCCGCCTACCAGCCCATGGTGCTGATGCATTATGATAGTCATGGGAAACTTAAACTAACACCTTTTGAAGATCTCATAGTCAGTAAATGTCACTGTGCCTGATGTGGCCTGTGTAAACTGTACAGGTTTTTGATGAAGAGCTCATGTTACTATGTTCTAATGTTCCTCATCACAAACACACCTGGAGCACAACACACAAACCCTGCACATTTAAAGTTCTTCTCTCAGAAACAGAAAACACTCTGGTCCACCTTGTGATGTCATGTGATAATTCAGGAACTGCTCCACTGTGTTTTTAAACTCCATACACCTTCACTAGAATCATTAGGATGAGTTCAGCCATGGAATTGCTGATCTCTGTTGAACTAAAGATAAAAGGAGCTATTACCTAGAAAACTACCACTACATGATATCACAAGGTGGAGCAGAGCATTATTGATCTTTGGAGATGGAGACAAACTAATAAAAAAGAGTCACTCAAACATGTGTGAATGAAACTCCAGAAGTCCAGGTGTGTTTTTGAGGAGGAAACATTATAACATGGTTTAAAGCTCGCAGGAGTTCAGTTTGTGTAAAATAGGAGCGTTTAAGATTTTGTTTTATGATGATCTTTGAACTGGTGACCTGTTGGTTGATGGGTAAATGCTTATCCTAGTGCTGTGCTTTTGAAATATGATGAACTTTGACAGCACTGTTCTTTTCACTCAACAAGGATCTGTTCTAAAGGCCAGAGTTGTCATAATGGGCTTTTCAGCGGTATTTTTAAAAATGAGAACAGTTTTTAGAAAACAGTTTTGGTTGTTTGTACTGTAGCTTTTATATTCAAATGATTTCTTCCTGATTTGAAAAGTCTCTCCATATTCAAATACTTTAAAATTTAGATTTGAATTGTGTTGTTGCCATAACAATGGAGGATCATTACCAGTCCAAATCCTTCAAAATCAGCAAAAAGTCTTTATGCGTGAAAATCATGAAGAGCCTACTGAGTTTCCTCAGAGGCCTTCCTTTTTGTTAGTTCAATGGTGTTACTTGCATAAACATGGATATTTGTATTATTTATTTAAACTGTATTTATGTTGCTGTTGTTTGGATGTTACATGCTTTTACTGTAAATACTTTTTTACGTTTTTTACTGAACTTAAGAGTGACTCACTGTGACATTTCACAATAAAATATGTGTTGAAAATGAGTGTAATAAATTATATAATATAAGATAATAGAGTGTTGTTTGTTGCGTGCTGACGGAGTGTTGTGGGCAGATAACATATCGTCTGTGTGTGATCTTGACCTGCTGCTGTGGCCTTGACACAAACTTCAAGGACAAGGACAGAACTGATGAAAGTTCACTAAAGAACATAGCTCAGGACAGACTCTGGGACAAACTGCCCCGCAAACTTTATTACAACGAATGGCACAAAAACCTCTTTGTCAATAAATAAATTGGCCATGTTAGTGTACGAGTGTGCCACACATAGACAGACACTTCACTGGTCCAGTGGGAAATTCAAGTTTAGCTGGACACTGTTTAACAGGAGGACTGGTCAGCTGGGCTCAGCACATTTGTGTCAGGACAGTTTGAGGGGAGGAACAGCCCTCAGGACAAGAGTGTCCCTCCTCTGTGTCCTACAGTCGAGCATCACAGTGTCCACGGGGAGCCAGATGAACTTTGGAGCCATATCTGGAAATGTTCACTTACACACTGCTCTGTTGTTTGAGTCGGTGAAGGTCATCCTCTACATTTGCTGTACTTCTTAGTTGGTTAAAAACCCATGATATTATGTTAAAAAAAATAAAAATTTCAAAACCTGTTCAGTGTGTGAGCCAGGTAGCCACAAGAGCAGTTTCTGTTACCATGGCTAAGCTCAGGACAGAGACATGAGGCTTCTCTGGCAAATCCAGATCCATATCTTTAGAGATCTTTGTGTATTCTTTTCCAGAGGGATGTCAGTGTGACTCTCCTTCACGTCTCAAGCCACAACCACAAAATCATCCAATCAGATTTGTTCTTCTCACTGACGTATGTGAAACAAAGGAGCTCATTGGTCATGGATCATTATGAATAAAATCCCATTTCCCTCACCTCAGATCAACAGTTTAGTGCTTCAGTCATTGATTCTGCAGAAATCTGAGATGTTTTTCAGTCTCCTGTTTTTAATTTTCACTATATTTGCCATATTTATTGACTCTGATTGGCTAATCCACCTGTCACAACATCTGAAAAGGGAGATTCACTAGTGGTCAGACTCACATCCTCATAAAGTATTAAAGACCTGTGTGTTCAGACAGACAAACATCAGCCACAACAAGACAGAGAAGGTCTCAAAGTATCTGGACACAGTTTTGAAATCAAGATGTCTCAATTTCAACCTGTCAACCTGACACATGGGATTAACCAAAATATGAGTATTACAAAAGTGAACCAAAGAGCCATGGAACTGCTGGGCCACTACTGGAAAATACACAAACACACTACTTTTAGTATTTAGTATCTTAAAGTTCTTTTGACAATATGAGGTTTTGACAGGTTGACAATGTTTTTCCAATTATTACTTGGTTAGGAGGGATAGAATGTCTCCGTAGTAAATATTTATCATAGTTTTACATCAGTTAATGTCACACTGTGGAACATTTCAGTCAAAGCAATAACTGTGTCTCTCCATGGAGACAAGCAGGTGGCAGATCCCCAACTAGAAGGTTACACTGTGCGCCTTTAATGTCATAAAACTTTAAATTCTAAATCCATACTAATTAAGTTTAAAAACTCAAAATAGACTCAGAATCATTTTATAATAATTTTATTCCAGACTTTGATTCTAAAAGTTCCATCACACAGTTGTGTGTGTTGTCTTCCTGCCCCAGCCCCGTCAGAGTCCAGGATGTACAGTGACTCTTTGTACTAGAGCTCCAGGGGCCTCATTAAACCTGCTTCACTGAACCTCTCCATTAATGTCATCATAAATTCTGTGTGCAGTGAGCATGCTGTTGTGCAAGACTCCAAACTCATACCACCACGTATTTAGAATATGATTACCGAGCCCGTCCATGGATATTAAATAAACTACTGCCCTGATGATGACGACTACTGTGAGTGAGAGCGGTGCTCCAGTCAATAAAACATCTCTGTCTGTTGTCTCATGTGTTGAGTGTCAGGACTTTGAGTTGATCTGTATTTTTTTCACTTTACTTCTTAGTGTACCCCTAGAAGGTCGAAGTAGATGTGATGTATATAGTTAGTCTCAGTTTATGGACAGACCTCATGTGAAGCTCAGAAGCTCCAGAATTGCCTCCCTGAGTTGCAGTGGCTGCACTAGCACTGAATCATGACTGTGGGAGCTGTGGGAGCTGGAGGTTGTGCAGTGATCATTCATATGAGAGAGAAACATTTTAGGTTTAAACCAACTGGATTTCAACACTGAAACTGACAACCCAGATGAGAGACTCATGTGAGGCTCATTCTGCTTTCTGATTGGATAATCCTCTTGAGAACCAAAACATCGAATTATAACATCACAATGGCCATCCTGTCCAAATGTATTTGTAATTTAGAATAAACCAGCATTACTACTGTTCTCAGTAAAAGGAACGTTTGATTTGAACATGTTTAACTCGTCTCAGATTAGAAGATGAAATCTGATCAAATGTGTAATGTAAAAAACACATGTAGGTCTAATTCCAAACACACAGTGATAATAAGAGTATATCACACATGAACACATGAGCACGTGCATTATGAGCACAGAAGTCTGACACACAGAAGGGCACGAGGAGCTGTGACTCTGTGGGGCCCTCTGCTGGTGCTGAAGCAACACCACACCTCTGTCTCTGTGAGGATAAACCGTCAGTGTGACTCAAGGCTTTATTTTATGAGCCAAAGTGTAGACGGGCTCAGATGACAAAGCCTCTTCCTGGTTTTGTTCTCTCGGAGTGTGACATACAGTCGGATGTTTCTGTCAGGATCCTCGGCTTCTGAACCTCCAGAGTGATCCATGTCACCAGAGCTTTGCCAAAGTCACAGTGCCCACAGTGTACTGCAACTTTTATTTCTTTTATTGCATTTTACTGCTTATTTATTTAAGCATAAACTGCCTTTTATAAAATAAATCACTGTGTTTTTTCACGTTTGATCTGGTCACGTTCCACACACTCCAGAAGCTGTGAAGGTCACTTGGCTCTGCTTCAGGGGAGCAGACTCCAGAGGAGAGCTCCAGTGTGGTCTTTGGAGGAAGGATCCTGGGAACTGAGGGGACACTCTGGGAACACCAACACCGTCTGATCCTTGTGGTGATGGCTGTTCTGAAAACTATCAGTAAAACCATAAAACAGTCGTGCCTCGATGAGACAGTGTATGTTACAATGTTTTGTGTGTGTAATATCCTTGTCTTTGTGACGGAGACAATAAAGAATCATCTAACTATCAGTCAATCATTCAAACTTTATTTATGAGGCACTTTTCATAGAAAAAAAAAAAAAACAACTTAATAACTTTATATTGATTAAAACCCATCTCACATTTCCATCCAGAGGCTCCTACAGAGGAAACACTGGAAAAATCCTAAAATTATAAATATGAGTTCAAGCTAATGCCTAAAATAAATAAATATAATAAAATATGAACAATAAAAACAGGTAAAAGTATAAAATTTCAATCAAAAGCTAAGCTAAAAAGGTGGGTCTTGAGTGCTCATGAAAACATGAATGTTCTCTTTGGTCCTGAGGAGCACAGGGTCTGCGAGGGCTCGTAGGGTTAAAGCAGTTCTGAAAGATAAGAAGACTCAAGATCATTAAGACATTTAAAAAAACATAAAATAACTTTAAAATCCATCCTGAAACTCACAGGGAGCCAGTGCAGTGGTCCTCGTCAGGACACGTGCTGCTGAAATTTGTAATAATTTCAAACCTGAAATACTCTTTTGGGAAGAGCAGAGAGCAGAGAACCAACTAGTAAAAGATTATCATTGTGACTGAATACATGAAGCCTGGAGCCAGGAGCCACTCACTCACTGTGGCTGTTTCTTAAACATGTCTTTTCTCAAATTACAGTGGGACAAGAATCCTTCATCTTTTGTAAATACAGAAATGTATTCATGAATAAATGAGACGATCAGAGGGCGCAAGGACTCTGTGGGCCTGTGCAGGAGTAAAGCCGTTTAAATCAGGAGAAAAACAGAAGGAGCTAATAACAAAGAACCAAATAACCAAATAACCAAATGTGGAAATGAAAATGAAAATAAAAATTGAGATATAGTGATTTTGGGAACTTGGGAACAAGTTGTTTTTTCAGCAAGCATGCTAATGCACACTTCCTGATATTCAGACAGTACAACACTTCATAATCAGATGCTGACTGTACACAGCAGACTCCAGAGTACACTCCAGAGCTGCTCAGACACACACACACACACACACACATACACTGAAAAAATGGTCCGAGAGGGGTTGCTCAAATTGCAAAAAAAAAATTTACAACAATAACATGACTTTTTTATGATTCTCTGTAAAGCATGTTTAAATCTTACAAAGGTCACTTGATTGTGGTCGATGTTAGACCTGCATGTTTTAATCAGGTTGAGGAAACATGACTTTATTATAATTTCTGGTGAGGCTCCTCCCTCTGGAATTCTCCTCATCAAAACTTTTGGAGGGAAAATTCAAATGTAACAGGACACAGGACAGATACAAGAGCAGAGGACACACAGTGTGGAGCAGGAGGATTATGAGAGCTGATCTGGAGGTGAGACTTTTCAAAGATTTTATATGTTTCTCTGGCCTAGAATGACGTCATTGTTAAAACATGTTTGTGGTGTTTTATTTGAAATTAGAGTTAATGTAAGGACTGTTTCCATGAAACACATTGTATTTGACTGTCCATCTACAAAAGTGTGACAGTTGAACTAAGATTTGAATGTGTTTGTTCCAGAGTCGTCTACAAACACAGAGTGACGTCCAGAGCTCTGCTGGAGCTGTGGGGAAGTTCATGAATGTGATAGCTGATGTTTCAGGAAAAAGGAAGATGTTTGAGAACCAACAAAACACAGAGCACAGATGAACAAAGTAAATAACTCAACTAAAATGATTTTAAACAAATTTTTCAAAATGAACTTCCTATTGAACTTATCGTACTTGTACAAGGTGATGTGGCACTAGGAGACTTTATACCAGATGCCCTACCTGTTACTGCGTTTAGAGGAAGAAAAGCAGAACATGGTGAGTTTTGTTT